TGGCTGCGACTGGGACTGCGTCGGAGCACAGCACCCTGGCCCTGCTGGGCGCCCCTTGGCCCAGGCGGCCTCCTGTGGGCTGCATAGCCAAGGCAGAGTCCTTAGAGAAAGCAGTGTGTGATTTTGGGGAGGTGCTGAGTGCTCCCCCACTGGCCGTGATTATGCCTGCCTCTTGGGAGCAAAGTAGAGCAGGTGGCTGTGTTCCCAGACGGTTAGAGCTAGGAGGGTGCCAGGGGCAGGAGCGCCTGAGCCAGGTGCTGCTGCATAGGGGACCTTGCAGCCCCCTCTGAACCTGGCCACTGGAACCAGCGGGTGGCCACTGACTGGCCAGGCCTCCAGCAGGTTGAGCAATGCCTCTTTCATGGCAGGGGATCTCTGAGAGACGGTGTGACAGGCTGGGCCCGGCCATTTGCAGTGGTGCTGGGAATGCGCAGAGTTAACAGCGGTATTTGGATGTGCTGGCAGGCTTGTTGGTGTCTGGATTTAGGCCCAAGCTGAGGCCTAGGAGAGGGGATATCTCATTGCCCAGCAGCTGTCTGTGGTTCTTTCTGTTCTCCCGCACGGCGGAGCCCTCGTTAGCTTTGGGGACAGGACACCTGGTGGTGAGTCTCCTGGCATACACTGGCATCCTTTGTGCCTCAGTTTCCCCTGCCGGTGGGGGCTCCCCAGCCATGTGCCCCCTGCCGCCCCCGGGCCGCCCGTCTGGTGGGAGGGGTTCTCCCTGGCCCCTGCCAGGGCTTGCCAGTAGCGGTGAGCCAGCCTGCAGCCCGGGATGACCCCACTGCTGGCCACGCGGCTGCCTCTCGCCTGCAGGCGCCATGCAAAACGCAGAGCAGGTTTCAGCTGGGATAATGAAAACACTCTGGGAGCCTGGCGGAGGATGTTGGGGACGGGTGGTAGACCATAGCTGGGTGCATCCTCCTGTCGCCTGGCAGTAACCCGAGGCACCCAGGTGACGGTAAAGCTCTCCGGGTCCAGCAGCGCAGAGGACTGCATGCTCCTGGAGCTGAGGGACGTGGGCCATGACCCGGCTGGCCCTGTCCTCGGGCCATGCAACATGTCTCATCCTTGCTGAGGCTGAATGGATCCCGATGCAGTGGCCAAGGTGGAAATCTGCCCCTGCCCCCCCCAAACAGGGCAGCTCTCCTAGAGATGAAGGCCCCCAGCCCCATTTTGGGGTGAGGGAGGCGGCGGGGAACTGTGCCCCTCAGCTGCCAGCCTGTACCAGAAAGCAGCGCTGTGCTGTTTCCCAGCGGCGCGCCAGGAGGGCTGCAGGCTCGCACAGAGGCCGCTTTGTGCGGCTTGCCAAACTGTCCTGCGCTCAGCAGCCCGACTGACTTTCTATGCCAAGGACTTGTCTCGCGTCCCTGCTCTTTCCTGCTCCATTTGTCAGGCCCTGAGGTGCCCCCAAAACCCCTCGCTTGGCATTGGGGGTAGAGTGTGGTCTATCCTAATAGTGGGGGGGGGGGTGGGGTGTCTTTGAGATCCCAGTTAACCCTTACTTTCCTGCCCTGTCCCAGTTGCCTTGCAAAGACCCTGCTCATCCTGCAAGCGCTGTGGCCTTCACAGGGTGCCTCCACCTGCAGCTCTCAGCACAGCCAGCGTCTATCTCCAGAGGAGAAACCGAGGCATGGAGAAGGGACACAAGTCTCTCCCCTCAGGTTACTCCTCGAGCTGCTGAGAGGAGAGATGTCCTCCCGCTGCTCTGCTCCCAGGTTTGCGTGACAAAGGAATGATCCATGCTGGCCAAGGCCCATGCCTCCGAATCCCCAGCTGTACGGAGGTGGCAGCCACGCTGGCGCAGAGGAGAAGGCACCAAAGGGCCACAAAGCAGCACACTTGTCTCCGTGCAGCATCCACCACTGGCCACAGACCCCTCGCCTGCTCTAAAATGCACCCATCTCTGCATGCACTGGGGCTGCCTGGGGCGGGCCAGGAGCAAGAAGCAGAGCTGAGCGCTGTGGCCAGAGCTGCAAGGGAGATTTTAGGTAGGCCGGGTATCATTAGCTAAGCTGGCACCAGGCCAGGGCTTTGCCAGGCTTGTAAGCCAGAGAGAGAGACTCCAGGAGCTCAGCTGGCTCCATGCCGGCTGCAGGCAGAGGAAGCAGAGCAGCCTTCCGGGGCTGGGCTGCGGGCAGCTTGCTGTGTGAGACACAGGTCCCTGCTAGGCTCCTGGAGATTTTCAAAGCTCCTGTGTGCTCGGTACAGCATTTTGTGCCCAGAAATTCTGTCCCGAATGTGTAAAAGGGGCAAATCCAGGCCAGCTGGGCACCTCAGACCCATGAGCAATTGAGAAGGATGGATTCACATGCCTCTCTCCCTGCACTGTTGCTAGTGTCAGTGCTAACTCAGCTCCTGAGTCCCTGGCTTACATGGCATCCACAGGAATCTAGACTCAGGACCCCAGACCTCCAGCCTGGAGTCTAACTCTGTTTGCTCTCCTCTTCCAGAGCTTGAGGAGTCTTTGCAGGAAGCCTAGCATCGTCCCGACCTGTCCCACCATGGATGCCACAGAGGTGCCCATCCAGGCCGAGATGGTGGAGCTGGTGCCCAATGGGAAGCATGCTGCAGCGCTCAACACATCCACCGTCCCCTCACTGGCGGGTGACAGGTAGAGGCTTGGGGAAGAGGCACTTCCTCAGCTGGGCTGTACAGCTCCCCCTGCTCCCGGGTCCTGGGGTCTCGGACCCGTACTCAAGGTGCTCGGGGTGCTGCGTCTACCCCAGGGTGCCAGCGGTGTGCCCGTGGGGTGGTGGAGGGGGGCAGCTGTCCCCTCTGGGCTGTCACATCTGAGAAGCAGCCTGGACTCCTGTGTGGAGGACCAGAGGGACAAAAGGGAGCTGGCTGCTTGCCCTGGTCCCCGGCACAGCTGTGCTGCCCTGTGCTGATGCCTGCCTGGTGTCCCTCCCTCTCACAGTGCCCTCACCTGCAGAGAGGCTGTTGTAGCCCTGCTCACCGCCTGGCTCTACCGCAGGCTCACAGCTCCTCTCTCCTGTGCCCCAGGTTTGATGAGAACCAGTCCAATGCGGCCGAGCTGGAGGAGTTTCTGCCCCATGGCGCTGAGAAGAAGCAGACACACTTCACGGACGTGAGTAGGGCACCGCGGGCATCTCTCGCCTCGCCTGGCGCAGGGTCTGCGGCCAGATGGGTCTGTGCCTGTCGCAGCCAGCCAGAACATGGCCCTATGGGGCTTGGCATCTCACTGGGGGGCAGGTGGTTGGGGCCTATTTTCCAGTGTGACTGGTCCCTGCATTGTGTCTCGTGTGCACAGTTCGAAGGGAAGACGTCTTTTGGGATGTCCGTGTTCAATCTCAGCAACGCCATTATGGGCAGCGGGATCCTGGGGCTGGCGTATGCCATGGCCAACACAGGCATCATCCTCTTCCTGTAAGTGATGCTTGCAGGGCCACATGGGGCACTGCTGGCACCTGCTCACCCTCGCGAGCTCAACATCCAGCTGCCAGGCATCAGTGAGACTCCCTGTGGACTACGTGCTGCCCAATTTGGCAACCAGTGGCGACAGGGACACAGAGCTTGAGCCGTGCTCCATGGCTCACTGCACCACACTCCTCCCCGAGTTTAGCCTCTTTCAGCTTTCCCACCACCCGTGGCAGCTGAACCATCCCTAATACTCCTTAGAATGCCTGCCAGGCAGGCTGAGGCACTTTTGGGGCCAGCGTTGTGGGGTTAGCCCGGATGGGGCCTTGCTGCTCTGCGTGGGGTGGTACAGGACCTCACAGCTCTCCCTGTGGATTGAGGTTTGCCATTGGCACAGGGGTCTGCAGCACTGCTGGGATGTATTGCTGCAGCTCCCACTGCTGGCAATGTGTGCTGGCCTCACGGCGGTCCCCTGGGAGGGCTCCAGTGCCTCCACCCCTCCGTGGTGCCCCCTGCTTTGCTCCATTCCCATGCTCCTGTGGGGCATGTGTAGGTAGATGACCAGATAAACCTCTCCACTATTCCCAGGCTCCTAAATCAGGCCATTGTACGAAAGTAAGCCCCCACCTTTTGTGTGGGCAGCTCCAGCGCGGGCCTCCGGCTTTGCCAGCCTGTGCTGGCGACAGCAGCACCCCAGCCAGCCCAGGGTGTCAGCAAACATATTGCACAAAGCCGGGTGCTTGTACCCCAAAGCTCTGGGGTACAGGTGTGCTCAAACAGGCAACAGGGCATTGGCCCCAGCAGCACCAGACCTGGTGATGTGTGAAAGTGCCCATAGGAGAGCCAGGGGCAGGAGTGTAGGGCATGTGGTAAGGTGTGGGACACTGTGTGTGGGGACTCCTGAAGTGTGGAACTCCTCCAGCGGTGCCTGATTCCTCTCGCTATGGCTGTGGATGCTGGGGAGGTGGGCAAAAGAGATGCCGCATAGGGTGCCATGAGGTCTGCCTGGGGGCCTCGCTGCCTGAGAGATGCCCATCCTGCCAGGAGCAGTCGGCATACACAGGCACTGCTGGACACAGCCGTCTGGGGCTCGCACAGCGGCATGATGAGCTGTCCCCACCTGTAGTCCCCCCACTTGTGGTATACCTTCATCCAGCCTCATGGCCTCTGACCTGGCTGTCCCCACACAGCTCTCTGCTCTGGTGATGAGGAGGCAGATGAAGACTTGACCTCCCATGACCAGCTTTCTCCATGTGGCCATAAAATTAGGCTGCTGGCTTCCTTGGGTGGTGGAGAAATGTTCCCATGGGGTAATGGCAGCCGTGGACACAGGCACAGGGGCAAGACAGTGGCCCATCCTCTCTGTGAGCACCCAGTACTAACACGAGAGGACAGGCCTGGGCAGGGTGGCCAGCCAGGAGAGCTGTGCAGGCAGGTGCAGGCAGGTGCAGGGCCCTGTGCCCATCCCTGCAGCAGCCGGAGCCTGCCTGTGCTGCATCGCCCTGTTTCTGGCCTGAGCAGTACATGGGACCAGTGGTGCACTTGGCATCCTGGGAACTAGACGTGGCACATAGTGCCAGACAGCGTGGCACAGCCTGTCTCAGTGCGCCCACTGCTGGGACCTGCCTGTGACGGCGCTCCCCTTTCCTAGCTTCCTCCTGACGGCCGTGGCCCTGCTCTCCAGCTACTCCATCCATCTGCTGCTGAAATCCTCAGGCATCGTGGGTGAGTGCTGGGTCTCCAGACGGTGGGATTGTGCCATGTGTCCCTTCCCCGCCCTAACCACTCTGCTCCTCTGCTGCCCACAGGGATCCGTGCTTATGAACAGCTGGGCTACCGAGCCTTTGGCACACCAGGGAAGCTGGCCGCAGCCATTGCCATAACGCTGCAGAACATTGGAGGTGAGAACAGGGCAGGGAGGGTGCAGGGGAGGGCAGCTGCGGGCCATGGGCACACAGAGAGTGCTCAAGACCTGCAGTACCCTCTCCACACTGGCACAGCACGGTCTCACTCTGCTTCACAGCCATGTCCAGCTACCTGTACATCGTCAAATCCGAAGTGCCTCTTGTCATCCAGACCTTCCTCAACCTGGAGGAGAAGACCACGTGAGTGTCTCCTACTCACCCTGCATCCTGCCCTGGTCATGTCCTCCAGCCTGAACACCTGCCTGAGCTTCATATACAAGCCTAGGCATCTCTCTGGGTTTCATACCCAGGTCTGGGGACCAGCCTGGCAGTGCCATCAGGATATCGGCCCCAGTTCTGTGCCTGTGCCTGGCCCTAGGTCAGCACTGCCTGGCGACACATAGAAGAGAGGGAATATGTAATGGTCATGCCCAGCCTCTGCCCCTTGCCCTCCCAGGGTGCCATCTACTGGGTAAATTTGGCTGGAGCAGAAGTATCAGCCAAGGGTCTCTTGGGATGGTGAGGGAGCTGGCAAAGGCCAGTGTCCCTGATCAGGAGGGCCAGGACACATCAGAGGCTTCGGGACCAGTTCCTTGCTGCTTAGCCTCCAAATCTGCATGAGAGACCTCTCCTCTCACCTCGCTGTGGGTGCTCCCCCTGGCCCAGCGCCTCCATGACGTGTCCCCTCACCCCAGCAGGCACTGTGGATTTGTCTCCAGCTGGACAGCCCATGACAGGGATTTAGTGGCATTAAGCCACTACTATTTTTGATGACTGTCAATGCTGAATAAGCCCCCAGGCAGGATTAAACCGGAGTGAACTTCCAATCCCTGCTCCTCACTTCCCCTTGGAATAAACCTTTCCTCCTTGAGCAGAGCCCATTACTTGCCCAGCTGGCTCTGGTGCTGCAGGACACTGGGTGTGGGAAGGGAGCCAGGGAGCTCTCCCTGGAAATGAGCTCCCTTGACTCCCCTGCACCTGCATCCCCATGCTGGCATCACAGAGGGCTGAGGAAGGTGAGAGTAGGACAGACACCAGGCGGAGATGGGACTGGTGCTGGGGAGGAATTCTGGGGACACTGAGGGATGCCCAGAGCATGTCTGGACATCAGCCCCTTTGCTCAGCCACATCTCCGAGGGACCCGGGGATACCAGCTCAGAGGTTCCCAGGGTTGCCAGCCTCAGGTGTCCCAAGGGATATTGGCGTGAGGGGCCCCTGGAGGTGCGAACTCAGGGATCCCAAGAAATGCAAGCCGATGGGATCCCCAGGGATGCTAGCTCAGGCATCTCCACAGATGGCAGGCTCTGGTCCCCCCAGGCTCATGAGGCTCCCTCCCCAGCACCATGTGGGGACATGCCCTATGCCCCTGTGCCCCTGGCAAAGTGGGGCTGTGAGCAGGCCTCTTCTCCGCTTCCAGGGACTGGTACATGAATGGGAACTACCTGGTGATCCTGGTTTCCATCACCATTATCCTGCCCCTGGCCCTCATGAAGCAGCTCGGTAAGTTGGGGTGCCGAGGGGTGCGAGTGCCAAGCGTGGCACGGTGTCCAGGGGCACCACGGGGCCCCTCTCCTGAGAACTGTCGCTGGGCCAAGGGCAACAGCGCCCCGCTGCGGCAGGTAGCGGCGGGCATGGGAGTAGTGGGTGGCAGGAGGGGCTCCAGCCAGCTGTGGGCCCTGCCCGTGCCCACTGGTGCTCTCCTCTCTCCCCAGGCTACCTGGGCTATGCCAGCGGCTTCTCCCTCAGCTGCATGGTCTTCTTCCTCATCTCGGTGAGTGCAGCGGACATGGCCCCAGGATGTGCTGGCATCTTGGGGCACAAAGCACCCCTTCCCGCTGCCGGGCCAGGCATCCCAAAGCGCGGGGGGGGGGGGGGGCCGTTGGCACCGCATGGAGGGGACCCAGCCAGGGTGCTGGAGGGAACCCCTCCAGGTAGGTGCAGTGCAGGTGGTGCCGGTCTTTGCTGCTCGAGTCGGTCGTGCTGCCGACCCGCAGCTCAGGCGGCTGTTGCTGGGGGGAGCATCACTAGGCTCTGATTGTCCCCCCGCCCCCAGGTCATCTACAAGAAGTTTCAGATCCCCTGTCCTCTCCCTGCACAAGAGGTGAACGGCACGGGCGGCCTCAACTACACGCTGGGGAGCACCAGCAACTACCAGAACGGCTACGCTGTCCTCCAGGCCCCTGACGAGGGGACTTGCTCCCCCAGCTTCTTCACTCTCAACTCCCAGGTAGGGTCCCAGTGCGGGGCTGGGGACCAAGGTGGGCTGCACCTCCGGGTTTGCAGGAAAACTCCCTGGCCCGTAGCTGGGGTGGCAAAAGGGCACCCAAGCTCTCTCTCCCTGTCAGCCCCCAGAGCTCTTGGCACCCACAAGTGGTCCCAAGCCCGCTGCACTGGTGCTCAGCCGCCTGCCTCTCTTGCAGACAGCGTACACCATCCCCATCATGGCCTTCGCCTTTGTGTGCCACCCCGAGGTCCTGCCCATCTACACCGAGCTGAAGAAGTGAGTGCTGGGGAGGGGACCTGGGCCTGCTGTGCCCGTGGGGAGCCGCAAGGCCTCATCCTGCTCCCGGGGAAAGGCAGCAGGCAGATACTCTGTCACTGCCTGGGCACGAGACCTGCACTGGAGTGCTCTGGCGCCCGGGGGAAGTGGGTGATCCTGCGGGCCTGCCCTCCCCCCCTGCGCCCGCGGGCCTGGCCTCCCCCAGCATCGCCCCTCCTGGCCAGGCAGCCTCAGCCCAGCTGTGCCACCTCTGGCGCTCTTCCTGTGGCACAGCCCAGGCCAGACAGGCGTCCAACTCTTGGGCCCAGCACCAGGGGCTGCCATATCCATGTGGGTGTGGGTGTCAGACTAATACTGCTGGCCCCCACAGCCCCTCTAAGAAGAAGATGCAGTGCATTTCCAACATCTCCATCACAGTCATGTACCTGATGTACTTCTTGGCTGCACTTTTCGGCTACCTCACTTTCTACGGTAAGCCCTGGGAGCAGTGCAGAGGACCCACCTGGCCCAGGTGGTGTCCCAGAGACAATGCTGGGCTCGTGCCTGTTCCCTTGCAGGCAGGCCCTGCCGTGCCGTGGGCCAGGACAGTGTGGCGGGGCTGACCCCGCAGCTCTTTTCTGGTGCCCACAGGCCGTGTGGAGTCGGAGCTGCTGCACACATACAACAAGGTGGACCCCTTTGACGTGCTGGTCCTGTGCGTGCGGGTGGCTGTGCTGACGGCCGTGACACTCACCGTTCCGATTGTCCTCTTCCCGGTGAGTGGCCCCCAGCGATGCTAGGCAGCACCACCACAGCCATGGGCAACCACAGTGCTACCCATGGGCCATCGCAAGGCCTCAGCACTCAGGAGATCTCTTGAGGTGGGAAACTGAGGCAGGCGGCAGGGCTAGGGCAGAGGCCGAGGCTCCCCACGCTGGCTCTGGGCAGGCTGAACAGTTTGCAGGAGCAGCTACCCCCAGGATGCCTGGAACCTGGGCTGAGCTGGAGCCAGAGGGCTTGGGCTGGGTCCCTGGTCCCTTGGATGGAGTGTGATGCCCCTGTCCCCATCCCCAGGTGCGCCGGGCCATCCAGCAGATGCTGTTCCAAGGCAAAGACTTCAGCTGGGTCCGTCACATCATCATCGCTGTGGTCCTGCTGACCTTCATCAACCTGCTGGTCATCTTTGCCCCCTCCATCCTTGGCATCTTCGGCTTGATTGGTGAGGGGAAGTCTCTGCTCCTAGCTGCACGAGGGCACTGGCCCCGGGCACAGCAGGTCCTGTTCCTACTCCCAAGGCTCTGGTGCCTGGGGCTTGTGCTGGGGGTCACCAAAAGTCAGGGACAGGAGTATCAGGTGCTGTCCTTCCTGTGCTGCCCTGTGTCTCAGTTTCCCCTTCTCGCCATGCCAGCCTTGGAAGGCATGTGGGGCCCTGGCCATGGGACTGGGCTGCCCGCAGGGCTCGTTAACCTGCCAGTAGCACCCTGACACCCCCATCGCAATGTCCATACTTGTGGGCTGTTTCCCCGGGGGGGAGGCGGAAGGGTCATGGCTCTATTTGCTCTTCTCCCCCGTTATTTCCCTTCATCTCTTAAGCCGGATGCTCTGTGGCCAGAGCTCTCTGGCCCTTGGGCCCATGTCAAGCCATGGGGAGACGCATGGGCCCAGTGTCAGGCCAGCCCATCCCCGGGTTCCCAGAAGGCCCTGGGGAGAGGCCAGGTCTGGGGGGAAAGGACAGGATCTTGCCCAGCAGCACGGCTGGCAAGGCTCAGCCACGGGGCCAGGGCCTGCTGCCCGCTTTGTCCCTGTCTGCTCCAGGTGCCACGTCTGCTCCCTGCCTCATCTTCATCTTCCCCGCCATCTTCTACATGCGCATCATGCCCAAGGACAAGGAGCCGCTGCGCTCCCCTCCCAAGATCCTGGTGAGCCCTGGGCACCCACCGTTGGAAGCAGGGATGGGACGGGACGGGGTGTCCCCAGAGCTGGGCTAGGCATGAGCCCTGGTCCCTTGGGGACTGTGTGTGCTGCGGCGCCAGGCACTGGGAATGGCTCCTGGCCTCCCCGGAGGGATAGAAAGGATACTGGTGCCAGGCAGCTTGCTGAGGGAAAACCCTTGTGGACAGGGCTGGGCTCTCCGCAGTCCCTGCTTGGGTGGGGGACATTGCCTGGACTCCTGGGTTCCTGTCCGGGCTCTGCCATTGCCATGGAACCCCTGCACTGGGGGCACCATGAGTCACGGTGGGGCTGGAGATGGACCCAGGCATCCTGGCTCTCCCTGGGGTAGGCTGAGCTGGCTCCCTGCTGACCCCTGCTCTGTTGCCCACAGGCAGCCTGCTTCGCCCTCCTGGGGGTGCTCTTCATGATCATGAGCTTGAGCTTCATCATCATCGACTGGGCCACAGGGGGTGGGAAGAGCAGCGGCAGCCACTAGCTGTCACTGGGGGCCCAGGCTAAGCTGCCCCTGCGCTGGTGCCCCCCCTGCTCTGGTGCCCCAGGGACAGCCAGCCCAGGGCACAGCCCCCGGCCCTGCTGCTTGGACTGTACTACAACCCCCATGCTGCCCATGAGGCACACCCAATGCCCTCCGCCTGTGCTGCCCATCCTTGTCCACTGGGGAAGGGGCCCCACATGGCCCCACGCTTGCAGCGTGGGACAGAGCCTTGGCACATGTGGGGGCCCCCAAGCCCATGGCAGGGAGGGGGGGAAGAACCCAGGGCCATGGGGCCAATGCTGTACTCACACCTCTGGTGCGTCCCCTCCTGCTGGGCGCCTCAGTTTCCCCATCTGGAAAATGGGGAGAACATTTCCCTACCTCACCGGAGCTGGCTGTGAGCTGGACCTTGTCTCTGCACACGGAGAGCATCCGGCCGCCAGCAGTGAGCACTGCCAAGTGCATGTGGTGTGGGGTGGCCAAACAGGCCCACCTGAATGCCAGTGAGAGCTCTGACAACCAGTGTCTGTGGGGGTCATGCCTGGGGGGCCAGGACCCTTCGGGCAGGGAGCTTGGCCCCCAGCAGGGCTCCCTGGGCACACTGTGGTGCCCTCTCTCCCTGCTGCCCCATGGACAGTCAGCTCCCACTCGCCCTATCTCTTGGGGGCACCCTGGTGTCCGTGCAAGCAGAGAAAAGCAATCCTGCCACCAGGGCTGCACGGGAGCTAGCGCCGTCGCAGTACCCAGCCTGCTGCTATCAAAGTTGCTGGGGAGCTGTCAGCCAGCAGCCGCGTCCCCAGGACCATACCAGTGGCCTGAGGCCCCCAAGGGACAGCACTTGCTCGGGGCCACCTTCTGGGCTAGGCAGAGACTGGAGATTTTGGAGGGACTCTCCATTATGCCTGCTGGTGCCCAGAGCCCAGATGCAGGGGTGATGGGCACACACCCGCTCCAAGCAGTGCCAGTGGGGCATTGCTGCCCAGCCTGTGCCTAGGGCCAGCTCCCGGGGCCCTGCGCTCCTCTTCCATCTGGCTCGGTCCGGGGGGCTC